TTTTCATTGTGAGTTGAGCAAAGCTTTACAAAGCAGATCATCAGTTTTACATTCAGCAAATCATAGACTTCGTTTTGTGTCAAAGCCGTCCCCTCATGTAACATCACTTGCTTCCATTCCTCCTTCTTTCCCCACCCTTCTGAATTTTATCCTTAGGTAAAAAATGCTGCCCTTTTGATCTTGAATGGCTGACTATTCTACAGTGTGCGTATGTTGCTGTTGTTGTTGTTGAGTTGGTTCCGACCTATAGCAACCCTGTATAGGGTTTCCAAGGAGTGGCTGGTGAGCTTGAACCACCGACCTTGCAGCTCAAACCAACCTGGCAATCCAGCACACTAACCCACAGCACCACACCCCTATATACCTATCTATTGCTTAACTGAAGATTCAACCACAGGGATTTTCATTTTCATTTTAACTGGTAATTACTTTGAGCCTACTATGCCTGCCCTAAGGGTCATGTTTTCATTCATTTTCCTCATTCTTTCTGGTTCCCAGTGAAATGTCCAAATGAGTTGAAAAAATAATTTCTAACCACAAGTTCATGGACTAATAACCCAGAACTGCCCTACTGTGGTGTTAGATAATTGTATCGCTTAATTTGCTCGTTTTCAAGAACCACTGTGTCTGTGTTTACATTGTGTTGCTCTTTATTTTGTTTGCTTTAAATGCATGTTCAGCTCATGAGTCATCAGTACTGACTGCTGGGCTCTGTTCTAGGCACTGGTCAGTGCAGAGAGCGAGACAAGGTCCCTTCCAGGTGGACAGTAGACTGTGGACTGGGAACTGTACCATAACTAGCATATGTTGTTGTTGTTGTTGTTGTTGTTAAGTGCTGTCACGTCGGTTCCAACTCATATAGCCAGAAAGAAAGAAAACCAAACTAGGGGTGGGGGAGACTTAATACTCTGCCATTGCTTCCTCACAGGGAAAAAAAAATTTTTTTCCAATATGGGGGAGCGGCAACTGATGCTTTCTGTCAACTTCCTACCAAGACCAATAAGATGGTATTTTACATCTTCACCTGGAAACAAAAAGGGTGAGGACGGTTGGAACAGTTTTTTCTCCATCAGCAGTGTTCCTGCTGGACCCTGGGCCTCTCTTCCTTTGACTGACAAGGACTTGGGTGGTTGATGCAAGGTGCTACGCTGCCCAGGAAAGAGGGGTCAAATGAAAACCAGTAAACCCAATTGCCATTGAGTGGACTCCTATTCATGGTGACCCCATGTGTGTCAGAGTAGAAATGTGCTCTGGAGGCTTTAGCTTCAGAAGAAGAAATGTGCTCTGAAGCATTAGCTTCAGAAGAAGATCACCAGACATTTATTCTAAGGTGCCTCTGGGTGGACTTGAACCTCCCATCATTTGGTTAGCAGCTGTAAAAAAAGGGCATGAGGGCAATGTCTGACCTCCGCTAACTTCAAAGGGGGAGGACAAGAGAATTATAACTATTAGCATCAGCCCAAAGCTAATTTCTGTGAGGCGGGGGTCCGAAATGATTCCACCTCCAAATTTTTACCTATTCTGATACCAACTGTCCCTCCCACTGACTTTTTACTTCTCTGCTGAGTTCAATAATCCATTGGCCACACAGAACTCACAGACATTACTGACAATTATGGGGTTTTTTGGGGAAATAACAGGTTACGTTTCAGGATCAGGAATGCTCAGAATAGAGTTCTTCAATCAGGAGAACCTCCTCCTTGCTCAGGCCCACCTCTCTCTGCCCCTGGGCCTGCCCTACTCAGTCATGTGTTACACTTAGTTAGCTCTGCTGGTAAATATTGCCCCCTTACCATTCATCCCAAAGTAAGCCTCATCCCAAAGGCACTCAGCAATAGCTCCTATGGGTCAGCAAACCTGTTGTGTGCCATTGAGTTGATTCTGACGCATGGCGACCCTGTATAGGTTTTCAGCAGCTATAAATCTTTACGGGAACAGAAAGTCTCATCTTTTTCCTGCTGAACAACTGGTGGATTCAAACTACAGACTTTGCAGTTAACAGCCCAGCTGGTAACCCACTAGGCCAATGTATAACCCAATTACGTGCCTGGAGGCAACCCACTCCACCAACCGGCCTTCTGTCCAAAGGCACTCAGCTTTCTCACTCTATAGGCCAGAAAGCCCACCACACCATCTTGTACTCTTGGTTCTGCTGCTGCTGTGGTCGCTACTTCTCTGCCACTGCTTCACACCATCTCTCGTGGTCTCTGGAGTCATAGCTCTGTCTCCTGGAACAAGGGGGCTCATCATCGAAAGGATCTCAGGTCCAAAAGAAGTGCTCATATCATGGCACTTCTTAATTGATGATAGTGAGATCCCCTCTTTTCACCTTGGGATGGCTCATTTTAAACCTGCTGTTGTGGTTAAGTGCCATCAAGTCAGCTCCGACCCATAGCAACCCTGTATAGGGGTTCAGCAGAGCAGCTGGTGAGCTTGAACTGCTGACCTTGAAGTTCAAATGGCTTTGCAGTCTGGCGCATTAACCCACAGGGTCACACCAGGACTCCCTTTTAAGCCTAGTAGGATAGCAATATGACCAATCCCCATGTGAATGTCCCATACACCTTATTTGAAGTTCTGGTGTGATGCTGTAGGATAAGCACTGGACTGCTAACCATAAGATCGGAGATTCAGACCTACCAGGCACTCCTCAAAAACCCTTTACAGGCTTACTGTGAGTTGAAACTCACTTGACATCACTTAACAACAACAACAATCCCAAAGGTGCCTTGTACATTATATTATTAACAAACTATCCAATCCACTTGGTAGGTCACAAGTACCTTACATTTGCACAGTCCTACCCAGTCAGGTGTGGCGCTGTGGACTAATGTGCTGGACTGCAGAGTCTATTTGAACCACAAGGTTGGCGGTTCAAGGTCACCAGTCACTCCTCGGAAACCCTATACAGGGTTGCTGTGAGTCAAGAACTGACTTATGGCACTTAACAACAACAACACCTAGTCACTTGGAGTCCTGTTGTGACGCTTTGGGTTAATGCACTGGACTGCAAAGACGGACCCTGTGGGTTGGGCCACTGTGGGTTGAAACTGACTCAACGGCACTTAACAACAACAACCCAGTCACTTGGAAGTTACAAAGGTGATGGTTGGAATTTCAAAGTAATTTACAGCAGTTCATTGTCTTTCCATGGTCCAATAGCGTGTGAGAACTTTTAGCAGGGAAAAGTGGGAATGAGTCCTATTCACTCATTCTTTTTTGTGAGCATGGGAAATGGAGGAGTGATGATACCAAATTGGTGTAGCTCAGTGGGTTAATGCGCCAGACTGCAAAGCCATTTGAACTGCAAGGTTGGCTGTTCAAGCTCACCAGCGTCTCCTTGGAAACCCTATAGAGGGTTACTATGGGTCGGAACCAGCTCGACGGCACTTAATGACAACAACAACAATACCAAACTGCCCCGTCCCTCAGTTTCCCCATCAGTACAGCAGAGGTGAGACTGGCACCTCCTTACAGGGCTCTGTGAGGATAAAATGAGACTGGATATGTGAAGTGCTGAGACTATGTCAGGCATGAAGCAAGGACTGCACACGTGTGAGCTGTTATTATTGTTGTTGTTAGTTGCTGTCAAGTCTAACAAACCTGAAGTGTAACAGAATGAAACATTGCCGGGTCCAGTGCCATCTTCACAATCTGTGGTGTGGTTGAGTCTGCCGTTACAGCCATCTTGGAAGTCCATCTTGTGGAGTGCTTTCCTCGTTTTCCCCGACTCTCCTTTACACCATTATTGTTGCCCACCTTCTAAGACCAAGTTGGTCTTGGGTAGTACAAACGGTTAACACGCCAGGTTGACAACCAAAAGGTGGGTGGTTGGAGCCCTCCCAGGGGTGCCTTAGGAGACAGGCCTAGGAATCTACTTCTGGAAAAGCAGCCGTGGAAGACCCTGTGGAGCACAGCCACACATGGGGTCACCTTGAGTTGACATCAACTTGACAGCATAGGACATGGCTCACAGCCATCATGCCTCCTACCTAGAGATCCTCGGCCCCTGCCTCAGTCCCGGGCTGGAAATTTTCACCCTGGGTAAATCCTGGGTGAGATTCAACCCCTGAGCCTGGCAAGTCTCTGGTCCGTGTGGGGTTATGCTGGAGACGTGGGCCTAGACTGAGCAAACGCTCTGCAAGGGGACCCAGAGCAGAGCCTGGCAGCATCCCCACTGGGGGCCGGCCAGAGGGGCCCGTCTGGTTTGAGTTCCTGGCGCCTCTTGCTCCCTGCACCAACCCACAGCCGACTCCAAGCTGCCAGGCCTGTGCCTTATTTGGGTCTTGTCTCCCCCCAGATGACACTTCACAGCCTTAAAAGGCAGGCCTGGGGGTGGGGGTGGAAGGGATAGTTGCCACTGCTGCTACAGAGTCCCTCCAGCTGTGTCCCCCTTCCAGCTTGGTCAGCCCATCCCTCCAGCTGTGACCACTGTCCACCCCCAAGCCAAACCTGCCAGGACAGCCTGCTTCTCGTAGGGGTGGTGGGCTCCTGGAACGAGTCCCCCATGTCCTCCCAAGCAGTTGTCTCCCTCTGGTTTTCATTTAAAACCATGGCTGGATCCACTTCAGTCTGATCTTACCAAGTGGGACAAGATGAGAGTGGACAGTGACAGTTGCAGCTTGCTGAAGAGGAGCGCCAAGCCCCCCATGTGTGTCCTCGGGCCTTGCACAAGCCCGGGATGTATTTTTCACCATTTTACAGGTGAAAAAATAGGCAGATCCAGGGAGGACAATATATACGGGTCAGTAAGTGACAGAGTTACCACCTGACCTCATGGCCCTAAACGCTCCAGGAAAGTGAGGCCCCCAGCCTCACTCACAGCCCCCACTCCACTGCTAGTCCACTTCCCAACCCCACTGATTTTCTGCTTTGGTCCAGATGAGCCCAGTTCAGGCTGTATGACCCAGGTAAACTGCCCCACCTCTCTGGGCACTGAAAAGAATAGAGGCTGTGGTGATAGGTGGCCAGGGGCACGGCTTCACCCCACCATCCCTCAGTTGCAGGCTCATCTGGCCGTGCGGAGCCTGGGTGGTCAAGTAACACCATGAGACGAATGGCTCTTCGACCCTCGGCCTTCTCAGGTGGGTCTTGGGGGCAGCTGCTTGGGCCCCCTGGGCTGGGGGAGACCTGGAGGGAGCATGGGACAGTGTGATGAACCAGCTGGGTCCAGCTGTGGAAGGCTGGGGACAGCCCTGCCCTCCCTCCTGGTCAGGAAAAGAAGAGGGGAGAGGAAGAGTCTCAGAGGGAACCTGGCCTGGGTACAGGCATCCTAAGACCCACAACCACTGCTGGCCACCTGCTGATGCAAGTTTTCCCCACTTTGTTTAACACAGCCCCTTCTGAATACCTGCAGTGTGTGAGGTACCCCCTGGGGCTGTCCATCATCAGCTTACTGAAACCTTCCAGTGTCCCCAGGGAAGCTTCATTGTCCCCATTTTTAAGAGGAGGAAGCCAAGGGTCAGAGAGGGGATGTCCCTGCCCCAGGCCCCACAGCTCCAAGCTATGTGCTCATCCTGAGTCAGTAGGTGTGAATCAGGGATGACCCACATCCTAACACACAGGATCATCCCAGGATGAGGAGAAAGGCTTGTAGAGTGCCCAGCACAGTGACTGACAGCTAGGAGATGCTGTCAAGGGTGGACTGTCAGTAATAACGTCAGCGTGTAGCTGAGGAAGCTGGAAGAGCTTCCGGAGGAAGGCTCAGAGGATGGCACCCCTAAGGCCACTGTGGTCCCCAAAGCCCACAAGACCAGACCCTGGCGCCACCCAGGCGGCAAGTAACAGGATTTCCTGCCCCGGCTGCTGCCAGAAAAATCATTCTGGGTGTAGAGACTTCCAGGTGGGGTCCCTGCCCTGCTTTGGGAGGAACAGATTCTCTCTGGAGACTCCATGTCAAATGAAATAATGGTAGACCCCCAAAGGGCAAGGACCACCCTAGGTGGGCACTGGAGCTCTGCTTGCTTGTGTGTGGGGGGATTGTTGGATTAACTCCTCCCTCCTATAACCCTGAAGACTGAGGGGCTTCAAGGGGAACCAATGTCCCCTGACTTCAGTTTCAACCTCTTGCCTCTCCACAGGTTGTCTCAATTGCAGCAAAGTGTTGGAGCTGACAGAGCGGTTGAAGGTGCTAGAGGCTAAGGTGGGTGAGCAGTGCCCCAGGTGCCTCCTGCCCCAGGACGCCCTACCTTCTTCTCCATGCCCAGCCCACTCAGGTCCCTACCATGCACCTGTAAGCTAAGCTTCAACACCCTCACCCTTCAGGACTCCTCACCGATGCCCCCTGTCAGGCAGGTACTTCTCTCTCTCCTCCAGTGGCTCCCAGTCAGATACCTGGCCCTCTCTTCAAGGTAGCTCTACCTCCAAGGTGTGCCCCTCCTCCAGAAAGCTCCCTCCGATGCACCCTCACCCCCATCCCAGCCACCAGCAAGCACATAGACACTCTAGAGGTAGATCCCCCTCATCCACCTATTACCTTCTTCCCTTACCCCCCACAATATTACCTGCCTAGTTTCAAAGCTAGTGAGTCCTGGTGTGGCGCTGTGGGTTAATGCGCCAGACTGCAAAGCTGTTTGAACTGCAAGGTCAGCGGTTCAAGCTCACCAGCTGCTTCTTGGAAACCCTATATACAGGGTCACTATGGGTCAGAATAGACTCGATGGTGCTTGACAACAACAAGTCTGAAAGCTAAAATATGTACTGCACATCTTAAATGTTTTCAAAATAAAAGGTTGAGAAACATTAAAAAGTACGACCTTCTAGTTTAAAAAGGTAAAAAACTCAGAAACAAAAACCTACCAGAAAGCGATTCAGAGCATGAGTCACAGCAGACACCTGTGCCCCTAGACTGAGCAACTGTTCACATTCCAGTATCTTCCTTTCTCCCAGATTTTCTAAATGTCCATGTTAAGTGCCGTCGAGTCGGTTCCGACTCATAACGACCCTGTATAGGGTTTCCAAGGAGCGGTAGATGAATTTGAACTGACCTTGTAGTTCAAACCGACTTTGCAGTCCAGCGGTTTATCCCACAGCACCACACCAAGATTCCACATGTCCTTGGAAGCATGTATATTTCATCTGCCATTATGCCACTCTTCCCTTCTCTGGGAATCTGTCTTAGTTGTGCAGAGCTACTGTAACAAAAATAGTACAAGTCAATGGCTATAAAGAACGGAAGTTTATTTTCTCACAGTTCTGGAGAAGTCTGAATCAGGGTGTCAGCCATGCTAGTTCTGTGTACTTCCTTGTAGGTTGTTGTTGTTAAGTGCCATCGAGTCGGTTCTGACCCATAGCGACCCCATACAGGGTTTCCAAGGGTATAAATCTTTACGGGCTTTCTCCCGCGGAGCGGCTGGTAGTTTCGAACCGCTGACCTTAAGGTTCGCAGCCCAATTCGTAACCACTATGCTACCAGAGCAACCCTTGTAGGTAGTCCTGGACAATTCCTGGTTCGTTACCTTGTCGTCAGTCTTCTTATGAAAATGCCCTTGTGTCTGAACTGCTCTTTGTATAACTCAGAAGTGATTAAGTTTACTCTGGGATTGGTTGGTTGAGTGACTGATAACAATGCATTAGATTGGTGCTGTAGGATAATACACTAGACTGCAAGGTCAGTTTGAGCCCAGGGTTGGCGGTTCAAACTCACCAGCCACTTCGAGGAAACCCCATATAGGGTCGCTATGAGTTGGAACCAACTGGATGGCACTTAACAACAACAGCAACCAATTGCATGATGGAAGGTCATTCCATTCTATTCCATCCTACAGATATAGGGTCAGGATTTCAACACATGTGAGGTCAACTTCAAAAAGTTCATGGAAAAATTCCATTGCCTTTTAGTTACATTTTTCTACAGACTTTGAAGCCCCATTGTATTTGGGTAGGGGGAGGCACAATTTGATCCTTATCAAGGATATGATTAGATGTGAAGATTATTTACCAAAGTTATAGCTAGCAGTGGGAAGGTGTGAAAAACCAAACAGGAGGGTTAGATATCAATGTTGTAACATCCATTTTGTGGTGTATATATACTAGGCAGTCATTAGAAGTATCTCCATTTTCTGTCCCTGATTTATTAAGTGAAAAAAAATAAGCTACTGAACAGAATGTGCTAGAAACTGAATCATGAGGCACAGGAACCTCACGGCTTCTGCCCAAGGTCCTTCCTAGGAGAAGCCCCGTGAGAAGTAGCTCAGTCCTAGATCCAAGATGGTGGTTCTCCCATCAGAATCTGCCAGGCAATGAGTCTAGCTTGTCTTTGGACAGGCTCCACAAGATAAGCCCCATCCCCTGCCCCAGTCAACAGTCTTTCTGGCCTTGCTTGATCCTAGCAGCTCAGGATGGGGAGGGTACATTGGCAACTGAGCCATAAAGTGAGTTTTGTGAACCACAAGTTGCTTCATAGAGTTTTCAAGGCTGTGACCATTTGGAAACAGATCTTGGCTCTCCAGTGTGGCATTGTAGGATAAGCACTGGAATGCTAACCACAAGGTCCTCAGTTCAAACCCACCAACCCCTTCTTGAGAATTCTGTACAGGGTTGCTATGAGTTGGAACCAATTTAACAGCACTTAACTAACAAGTGTCCCTTCCAGCTGGCCTGTCCCAGACCAATGCTGATCCATCCCCACTCCTCCTCCATAGGTGGCTATACTGACTGTTATGGAGCAGGCAGTGCTGCCGGCCTCAACTGCCCCCAAAGACCCTGCCCCACTCTGGGGCTCCCCACCTTCCCAGGGCAACCCTGGGGATGGACACCTGCAAGGTGAGTGGGTCAGGGATGGCACCCACACCCCCCTATGAGAAAGAACACTGGAATGGGAGTCAGAAGCATGAGACTGTGGGCTCTACCCTGCTGCTGACTCCCAACATGACCCCTCATGTGGGGCCTCAGTCTTCCCAGCACCCCAGTGGGCCTGAGGGGATGGTCTACAGGGACCTTGTCCCAGGGAAGAGCTGGGGGCAGGGACTCTGGGTGACTCTCCTTCACCCAGGCCCAATTGGAACACTCACCCCTGCCTACCCAGGGCCACCGGGAGCCAGAGAGAATAAGAGGGCCCCACTGCTTCCTCGAAATGGTAGGTGTGGGCTGAGGGGTGGAACCAGGGTGGGCGCAAGAGCAAAGCTGGAGTTGCCAACCGCATATGTTTCCACCCCTAGACCGAGTGGGTGCTCGGGGGCTGCCTGGGCCCACTGGCCCCAAGGGGGACACCGGCAGCCAGGGCCCTATGGGGATGAGAGGCCTGCCAGGTAAGTACTGAAGGACTGTCCCCAGCTCCACTTGTCAGCTCTCCAGCTGAACTCAGGCTAGGGCCTGCTTTCTTTGACTCTGACCCTGGCCCAAGGTGTTCTGGGCCCTTCTGCCCCTTACGCTTGTCTTTCTGCTCACCACCCTTCCAAGGGTGCCCCACTCACATCTGGGCTTCCTGGAATCCTGTCTTACATCTACTTGGCCCATTTAGGCTCTGAATCAGGCATTGGGTGGTCCCAGCAGCTTGAGGGGATTTTGGAGACAGCAGAAGAACAACAGTGCCCTTCTCACATCACCAGCTCTGATGGAGGACATCAGGGATAGAGCAGCCACGAAGAAGGAAGCCCAGCTGCAGTCTGGGTGGGTGAAGGTCAGGGAGGGCTTCCCAGCAAGGTGACATCTAAACTGTGACTTGAAGAATGAGCTGAAGTTTACACCAAGGAGAGTAAAGAAAGGACTGATAGAGGGAAGAACTCATGCAAAACCTGGAAGTAAGAGGAAATTAGTGTGCCAGCTGCTCCGTGGAAGAAAGGCGTGGCAGACTGCTTCCATAAAGAAAACCCTTTGGAGCATAGTCCTACTCTGTCACATGTGCAATTATCATGAGTTGAAACTGACCTGACAGCAATGAGCTCCAGGTCTTTTGTTTGGTTAATTGGGGTTTTTTTTTTTGTGCGAAGTGTCTATTTTCATAAAGACCCTAGGGAGAGGTAGGTTCTTCCCCCTAATAGGCATAGAAACTGAAGCCCACCTGGCCAGTGAGAACAGAGCCAGGGCTTGGCCCCAGAACCCACTCTGATGTTCTGCCCAAGGCCCTTGGAAGCTACCCTGGGTCTGTCCATGCCTCCTACACATCTGTGGTTCTGTTGCAGGTCCACAGGGCCCTCCAGGGAGCCCTGGCCAAGATGGAGCTGTAGGCAGCCCTGGAGAGAGGGGACCTCCAGGCCCCCCTGGGCCTCCTGGCCCCCCTGGCCCCTCAACCCCTGTTGGACCATCCCTCACTCACATCTCTGAGCATGGTGAGTCCTTGAGGAGTCATGCAGGTCAGGGAGGGGAGGAGGAGCCTGGAACCCATGACTGTAGAACCCTCTAGCGCTTGCCCTTGACAGGTTATTTTCATCTAGGCCTCCAACAGGTGCTGTTCTCTGTGCACAGATTGGGGAAACTGAGACCAGAGAAGAGGCCACTTGCTAGGGTCAGCCTCTGCTGAAAACCACCTGGTTCAGGCCATCTCGCCAAACTTCAGAGCTGGCTGGGATCCAGCTCTCAGAGCACCAGGAAGCCCAAGGGCTGGCAACAGGAAGCCAGCCCCAAGCTCCCAAGGCCACAGTCTGGCCCAGTGCTCTGAGAGGTCCCGCCCCCCTCTGCCCACGTGGGACTCCTCCCCAAAAGTGTGCCCCATCTGCCTGGGATCAGAGCTTGGAGTGCCAGGTTCAACCTCGTCTACATCATAGCTTTGGTGCGTGGCCAGGCACATCATTGTCCCTCTCCAAGCCTCAGTTTCCTCAACTGTAGAATGGGATGTTGACAGTGCCAGTCTCTCAGAGATCTATGACACCCATGCATAGAAGCCTGGCATATAGTTGATTTTAATAAATGGTAGCTTTTGTCATTCCCATTTCACGTGTGCCAGTACAGGCTCAGCAAGGTGAAGAGTCTTGCCACATGTCACCAGCTAGACTCTGGTTGTCCTGTTCACTAACAGTTCCCCAGCTCAGTGGGCCCAGCTGTATTGCAGGTCACCCCTAGTACAGTGGCACCAGGCTTGACCGAGGTAGCAACTGAAGACTCCGGCCAGACCCACCCATTTACCATCTCTTCTTTCCCCAGGGGACCCATTACTATCCAACACCTTCACTGAGACCAGCAGCCACTGGCCCCAGGGACCTGCAGGGCCCCCAGGCCCCCCAGGCCCCATAGGTAAGTTTATGACAAGCCTGAGATAAGGAATGGGGTTCGGAGATGCAGAAGGACTAGGGCTGTGGCCATCAGGAAGGATCCAATGATGAACTTCTGGCATTGTACACTTCTCTTATTCCAGGTCCTCCTGGGCCTCCTGGTCCCATGGGCATCCCTGGGAGTCCAGGACACAAGGTGAGTTTTCTCCAAGTTGTCTCACCCACCCATGCATGCATACTCCCATTCATTCAATGGAACTACCTTCCAAAGAGCTGATTCAATCCATGTTTCAAGAAGTAAGAGTGTCACCTGAGGCCAAGAAAGTTGGAGATTCTGGCCCTATGGCTGCATCCAGCAGGGTCCAGATGAGGCTGGCTACTGTCTGGCTCCAGGGCTAGACCTCTTAACACTGAGCTATGTAATCTGCCCACTTGGCCCCTCTGCTCCCCAAGTCTCCTGTTTATTCTGCCTCACCCCAACACAAGGCTGAGGCTCTGTCTTGTTGCTTAGGGACCTCCGGGTCCTACTGGCCCTGAAGGAACCCCTGGCCGCCTAGGAGAGAAAGGCGAGCGAGTGAGTACCGAGGTGACCCCAAGCGGGGAGATGGGGGGATCATGGGACCCTCAGTCAGGCTCTTCCCACAGCTGACTACCCTCATTTCTTCCACATAGGGACTGCGTGGGGAACCTGGCCCCCGAGGCTCCACTGGACAGCGGGTAAGTGATATCCTTCTCCCTTCAACTCCTCCAAGATCCCACAAGCCCAGACCCCTGCTCTGACTCCATCCCCTATGGCCAGAGCCCCTGACTCTCCCTGTCTGCCCTGGGCATGCTCCATCACCTCTCAGTTGTTCCCTGTTTCTGGGGCCTGTCTCCTTCACTGTGGTCCTCATGGCCTATCTGTTTTCTTCTTCTCTCTTCGCCCTGTTTCTCTGTATGTCTCTTTCACTTCCCATCTTTCCAACTGTGATTGTAGATTTGTCTATTTTTCCCCTTTAGATAGGTCAAGTTTTGCAATAAGTATTTTGAAGCTCTGTTATGAGATGCATAACGCTTAAGATTTTAATATCTTCTTAGTCCTTTTATCTCTGTGGAATGAATTTTTTTGTCTCTGGTAAAACTTCTTGTCTTAAATTTTACTTTTTTTGACATTAAAATAGCCATATCAGCTTTCTTATGCTTAGTATTTATATAATGTATCTATTTCTATCCCTTTAGCAACCTATGTTTTTAAATTGTTACTCTTTTTAAATAACGTATGCTTGGATATTGCTCTTTAAAATAGCTTAATTTATTTGTATTTAAATCAAAAGACGTATTGCATTAGGCAAATCTGCTGCACAAGACCTTTTTAAAGCATTGAAGAACAAAGATGTCAGCTTGAGGACTAAGGTGCGCCTGACCCAAGCCATGGTATTTTCAATAACCTCATATGCTTGTGAAAACTGGACAGTAAATAAGGAAGACCATAAAAGAATTGACGCATTTGAGTTATGATGTTGGAGGAGAATACGGAAAGTGCTATGGGCTGTCAAAAGAACCAATAGATAGATCCATTTTGGAAGAAGTGCAGCCAGAGTGCTCCTTGGAGGCCAATATGGCCAAACTTCATCCCTCATACTTCAGACATATTGTGAGGAGGGACCAGTCACTGGAGAAGGATATCATGTGTGGTAAGGTAGAGGGTCGGAGAAAAAGAGAAGACCCCCAACGAGATGGGATTGGCCAGGTGGCAGCATCGATGGACTCAAGCTTGGCAGCAATAGTGAGGTAGGCCCAGGATCGGGCAGTGTTTTGTTCTGCTGTGCATAGGGTCACTGTGAGTTGGTACTGACTCGATGGCACCTAACAACAACAACACATGTAATTATTGATATGGCGTCTGTTCAAGTCAACCATCTTGTTTGTTTTTTGTGTTTTATTTATCCCATCTGTGCCTTGTCTTTTTTTCCTTTCTTTTCCTACCTTCTTCTGGATTGAGTATGTTTTACAATTCCATTTTACATACCTCCACTAATGACATTTTGAAGGATCCCTGACAGTGCAGTGGTTGGTTGGTTGGCTGCTAGCTGAAAGGTCAAATCCACCCAACAGCTCTGTGAGAGAAGACAGTGATCTGCTCCCATAAAGATTGTTGTTGTTAAGTGCTATCGAGTCGATTCCGACTCATAGCGACCCTGTACAGGGTTTCTGAGGCTGTAAATCTTTACGGGAGCAGAGAGCCTCATCTTTCTCCCGCAGAACAGCTGATAGTTTTGAACTGCTGATCTTAAGGTTCACAGCCCGATTTGTAACCACTACGCTACCAGAGCTCCTTCCCAAAAAGATTACAGCCTAGGAAACCAGTCGGGCAGTTCTGCTCTGTCATATGGAGTCCTGGTATGGCGTTGTGGGATATAGCACTGGACTGCAAGGTTGGGTTGAACCAAAAGGTCAGTGATTCAAACTCACCAGTTGCTCGTTGGAAACCCCATACATGGTCACTATGAGTCGGAACCAACTTGACGGCACTTAACAACAACTCTGTCATATAATGAGCCCTGGCAGCATAGTGGATTACGAGCTGGGCTGCTAACCACAAGGTCAGCAGTTCAAATCTACCAGTCACTCCCCAGGAGAGAGATGAGGCTTTCTGCTCCTGTAAAGATTGATGAGCCTTAGAAACACTATTGAGAGTATCTATAAGTCAGAACCAACTAGATGGCACAACTACCACAACCACCACTCTGTCATATACATTCACTATGAGCCAGATTTGACTCCATGACACACAACAACATTTTAGTTCTACCTCTTGGTATTATTTTTTTATGGTTGTTCTAGGGTTGTTCCTCAACATACAACAATTTTCTTGAATTAACATTGTAACACTTCATGTATAAGTAGAAATGTTACAACTATATAATTTTATTTTGATCCCTTCGGCCCTTGTGTTATTTCTACTATGGTATTTTACATCTACATTTTTCATAAACCCACAGTGACTTATTATTGTTTAAAACAATCAGCTGACTTTTGAATAATTAAGAAAACAAAGAAAAATTCATTATTTTGTATTTACCCATGTATCTACCATTTCTAATACTCTTTATACCTCCTGTAGATCCAGATTCCCATCTGGTATTATTTCTCTGCAGTCTATAGAACTTCTTTAGCCTTACTTGTAATGTGGGTCTGCTGGCAACAAGTTCTCTTCACTTTCATTTATCTAAAGATGTCTTTATTTTACCTTAATATTTGAAATGTATTTTTAGTGTATAGAATTATGGTTGGCAATTTTCCCCCTTTAAAGATACTGTTTCATGGTCTTCTGGCTTGTGTAGTGTCTCATGGGAAACTGCTTACCTTATGGTTTTTGTCCGATATGTAATATCTTTTTTCTCTGGCTTAAAAAATTTTCTCTTTATCCTTGGTTTCCACAGATTGATTATGATGTGCTTGGGTGTGATTTTCTTGATTGATCCTGTCTTGGGTTCATCGAAATTCCTGGATCTGGATGGTTGCAAGGAGTTTTGTTTTTATTGGTTATTTTGTTTTGTTTTTAAATAAAATGGTGAGGGGGGCCAGCCAGTATTCTTCAGATATTTTTTATGTTCCTGCCTTCTTTTCTATCATTCTGGAACTTTGGGTTGGTTGTTACTGTTGTTAAGTGCCGTGGAGTCGGTTCATGCTTACAGAGACTCTGTATAGGGTTTCCAGGGCTGCAAATTTTTGTGGGAGTAGAGAGCCTTGTCTCCTGAGGAGTAGCTGGTGGGTTCGCAGTCCAGTGTTTATCCTACAGAGTCACTGAGCTCCCTATTGTACTTGGTATTCTCCCACAAGTCTTTGAGGCCCCATTAATTTTTTAAAACAATTTTTTCAGGTTTTGACCTTTTTAATTTGCATTTTTAAAAACGTGTGCATGCCAACAATTCAGATCACTTGAACAATAACAACAACAACAACAAATGGCACTCCAATCCTGAACGTTTTCAAGACTCTGCCGCACTTCCCATGTTTGGTCCCTAGTGACAGTCCGTGGGATATTGATGTGCAGCGACGGTCTTGACACCTCTCTGCTTGGATACACCTGCTTTATTCATGATATAATATTTCAAACTTCAATACAGTGCATTTTATAATCTTCTTGCCCTTTCTCATCATTTCAAATGTGTATATACTGTTAACAAAATTGTAACTGGAAAACTAAAGCACTGATATTTTCTGGTGACTTATATATCCCATGTTATAAGACAATTTATTAATAAGAGCAAATGTGAAGATTTCATTTATAATCTAGAGAAATAAATATATTTTATTTAATGTCCAAAAAATGGCACACCAATTAAACTATTCTGTGCCTGCAGGACACCTTGGACCAGCTTTGGTTTTACTGTATATATTTATTCTCCGTCGCCCCACCCAGCTCTTTCCTCACCAACGTGCAAATCCTTTTCCTTCCTTGACAGCCAGACAGGCCTGTGGGAGTGACAGGCGCCAACGTTCTAAATTCTTTGATGTGAGAAGGGACAGCACAGCCATTTAAACTTGATCCAACCTCTACATCTAACAAAGTTCAGTAGATAACATAAGAAAATAAGAAGGCGATGCTTGCTTCTCCTGTTCAGTTGTTTCTTTTGATGGCAGTGGCTTTTTCTTCCGTTTCTGCCTTTTTCAGTTTCGATTTAGAGGATTTCTCAGTTTCAGCCATGTTGGATTTGTCAGACATGGTTGGCGAGGAAGCAAACCAGCCTTCAGCGGATGAGTCTGTGTGCATGTGCGTAGTGGACGCTGCCAAGTGCTGGGTGTGGTCTTATAAAAAAAAAAAGTTTTTTTCTCTCTGTGCTTCAGTTTGAATGATTTTATTGCTCTATATTTAAATTAACTGATTCTTTTGTGGCGTCCAGTTTAATCTGTTAATGCCACCTACTGAAATTTTTATTTAGGGTATTACAACTTTCACTTCCAGGATTTCCATTTGATTCTTTCTTGTAATAACCCCATCTCTCCTGAAATTCCCCTTGTCACCTATTATATCAATTCCAGTAGATTCTTTAGTATATATTTATCTTTGTTGTTGTTAGGTGCCATCGAGTCGGTACCGACTCATAGCGACCCTAGCCCTGCACCAACCGTTGCTATAACCAAACAATTGTTGCTATTTTTGAGTTTGTTGCTCCTGCCACTATGTCAGTCAGTTTCGTTGGGGGCCTTTCTCATTTTCACTGACCCTCCACTTAACCAAACATGATGTCCTTCTCCAGGAAATGGTCACTTCTGATAATTTGTTCAAAGTATGAGAGTCAAAGTGTGGCCATCCAGACCTGTAAGGAGCATTCTGGCTGTACTTCCAACATATTTGCTTGTTCTTCTGGCAGTCCATGGTACTTTTAATATTCTCCAACACCACAGCTCAAGTACATCAATTCTTCTACAGTCTTCCTTATTCACTGTCCAACTTTTGCATGCAGATGAGATTATTGAAAATACCATGGCTTGGGTCAGGCACACCTTAGTCCTTAAAATGACATCTGGACTTTTCAACACTTTCAAGAAGTCTTGTGCAGCAGATTTGCCTAATGCAAAACGTCATTTGATTTTTGATTGCTACTTCCATGACTGTTGATGGTGGATCTGAGCAAAATGAAGTCTTTGACAACCTTAATCTTTTCTCCATTTATCATGATGTTATTTATTGGTGCAGTGGTGAGGATTTTTTTTTCTTTACACTGACGTGCAACCCATACCAAAGGCTTTGATCTTCATCAGTATTTTAAGTCCTTTTTGCTTTCAGCAAACAAGGTTGTATCATCTGCATATCGCAGGTTATTTCTGAGTCTTCCTTCAATCTTGACGCCACGTTTCTTTTCATATTAATCATAGTTTTTTGAAATTCCTTGTCTGCTAATAACAGGTTTGGCTATAGGAAGCCCTGGTGGCACTGTGGGTTAGGCTTGGGCTGCTAATCTCAAGTTTCAGTGGTTCCATGGGTTAAAGATGAGACTGCCCCCATAAAGATTTATAGTCTCTAAAAGAGCATATGGGGTCCCCATGAGTCCGAATTGACTCTATGGCAGTAGGTTTGATGAGTTCTAATGACTGATTGATCTATGAATCATATTTTCCCATTTCTTTACATCTGCTAATTTATAATTGTATACTAGACAATGTAGATGTTAAAGAGACTCGGGATTATGTTCACTTCCTTCCCCTGAAGGATATTTGAGTTTTGTTTTGTTGTTACTGTTAAGTGCCATTGAGTTGGTTCTGACTCATAGCAACCATATGCACAACAGAAAGAAATACCGCCCTGCCCTGTGCCAGCATTACAGTTGTTATTACATAATGTTTGAGGCCATTGTTGCAGCCAGTTTATCAGTCCAATTTTGTTTTAGCACAAATAAATCACCTTGCTCTTTTTTTAACTTTTCATTATGAGTTGAGTCGAAGTTTACAGATCATTAGTCCCACATTCCACAAATTATATACTTTGTGTCATTACAATGCTTGCAATCCACTCCACGTACCATCAGTTAATAGTATTTACCTATGTTCACTTTATTTTTTTTCCTCCCGCAGCACCCACCCACCCTGTAACCATCATAAAATATTTCATTTAGCAAGAAAGTCCTTTCTTAGCTTTTTACAGCTGTGGTCTCATGCAACATTTGCCTTTTTGTGATTGATTAATTTCACTCAACTTAATGTCCTCCGGGTTCATCCATGTTGTGGTGTGTTTCACAGATTCTTCTTATTCCTCAACGTTTCGTAATATTATATTACTATTTAACCATTCTTCTGTTGATGGGCATTTAAGCTGTCTCCATCTTTTTGCTGTTGTGAGTAGTGTTGCAATGAACATGGGTGTGTATATATATAGCCATACCACATCTCTTACTTCTTGAGGATATCTACCAAGTAGTGGAGTTGCTGGATCATACATTATTCTATTTCTAACTTTTTGAGAAAGCACCATACCATTTCCACAGTGGCTGCACCATTTCACAGTCCTATAAAGACCACAGCCTTTGGTATGGATTGCATCTCAATGTAAAGCAAACAAAAATCCTCACCACTGGACCAATAAACATTCTTGTCAACAGAGAAAAGATTGAAGTTGTCAAGGACTTCATTCTTCTTGGATCAACTATCAACACTCATGGAAGCAGCAGTGAAGAAATCAAACGACGTATTGCATTAGGCAAATCTGCTGCACAAGACCTTTTTAAAGTGTTGAATGAAGAGCAAAGATGTCAACTTGAGGACGAAGGTACACCTGAACTTATGGTATTTTCAATAACCTCATATGCATACGAAAGCTGGACAGTGAATAAGGAAGACCGTAGAAGAATTGATGCTTTTGAGTTGTGGTGTTAGAGGAGAATATTGAAAGTACTGTGGGCTGCCAAAAGAACCAACAGATCTGTGTTAGACGAAGTGCAGCCAGAGTGCTCCTTCGTCTCTCATACTTTGGACATATTGTCAGGAGGGACCAGTTGCTAGAGAAGGATATCATGTTTGGTATGGTTGAGGGACAGAGAAAAAGAGAAAGACTCCCAGCAAGATGAATTGGCAATATGACAGCATCAATGGGCTCAAATGTGGCAACAATTGTGAGGTTGGCCCAGGACCAGGCAGTGTTTCGTTCTGTTGTGCATAGAGTCACTATGAGTCAGTACCGACTCAATGGCACCTAACAACAACCAACAGTGTAAGGAGGGTCCCAGTCTCTGCATACCTTCACCAACATTTTCTGTGATTTGGAACTTTGCTATTAATGCTGGAGTAAGATGATTTCACATTTTTGTTTTGATTTGTATCTCTGGTATGGCGCTGTAGGATCAGCAATGGACTACAACCCCAAGGTCGGTGGTTTAAACCCTTGGAAACCCTATACCGACCGGGTCACTATGAATCAGAACTTACTTGATGGAAGTTGATAACAACAACAATGGCTAATGATTTCGAGACTGTCTTCTTTGGTGAATTGCCTGTTCATGTTCTCTGCCCATTTTTAAACTGGATTATTTGTCTTCTTGTTGAGGCGTTGAAGTGTCTGATATGTTGTTGCCAAACATTTTTTCCTAGTCTGTGCATCCTCTTTTTATTCTTTTGATGAAATCCTTTGATGCACATAAGTGTCTAATTTTTAGGAGATCCCAGTCATCTAGTTAGTCTTCTTTTTGTGTGTTTTCAGTTATGTTTGATAGTACATTTATGCCATGCATAATTGCTCCTAATTGATTATCTGTATAGTTCTAGGTTTTATATTTAGGCCTTTAATCCACATTGAATTCATTTTTGTATATGGTATCAGATATGGGTCTTGTGTAGTTTTTGTGTAAACAGATTTCCAATTTTTACAGCACTGTTTATTGAAGAGACTGTCTCTTCCCCATTTAATGTATTTTGGCCCTTTATCGAAGATCAACTGACCATAGGTGATTAGATTTACTTCTGGATTCTCAATTCTGTTCCATTGATCTAGGTGTCTTTTGTTGTACCAGTACCAGGCTATTTTCACCACTGTGCCGGTGTATTAAGTTTTGAGGTCCAGAAGTGAAAGGCCTCCTACTTTGTTCTTCTTCTACCATAATGCTTTCATTTCCATATAAAGTTAGGTTTATTAGTTTTTTATTTCTTTAATAAAGTTTCATTTTTCTATTTCTATTTAGTTAGTTTTTCTATTAATTAGTTTTTCTATTTCTTTAAAGAATGATATAGGAATCTGAATTGGGATAGCATTTTATCTATCGATTGCTATCGATTGTAGTGTTGACATTTTCATCATGTTAAGTCTTCCTATCCATGAGCAGAGCATAGTTCTCCATTTCTGTGTGTCTTTTTGGGTTTCTTGTAGTTATATTTTATCATTTTCTTTGTATAGATCTTTGGTTTCTCTGGTTAGAATTATTCCCAAGTATCTCCTGGTGTGGCACTATAAGATAAGCACTATATTAATAACCAAAAGTTCAAACCCTCCATCTGCTCCTGGGAAACCCTATACAGAGTTGCTCTGAGTCGGAACCAACTCCATGGTACTCAACAACAACAACATTTCATCTTTTGGGTGGCTATTGTAAATGGTATTTTTTTTCTTGATTTCCTTTTCAGACTTCTTTTTATTAGTACAAAGGAATCCATCTGATTTTGTATGTTGATCTTGTACCCTGCCACTTTGCTGAATCTGTCAATGAATTCCAGTAATTTTCTTTCAGAGTCTTTGGGACTTTCTAAGTATGTTGTTGTTGTTAAGTACCATGGAGTCAGTTCTGACTCATAGTGACCCTGCACAGGGTTTCCGAGGCTATAACTCTTTACAGGAGCCTCATCTTTCTCCTGAGGAACAGCCAGTAGTTTTGAACTGCTGACCTTGAGGTAGGCAGCCTGATTCATAACCAGTACGCTACCAGAGATCATATTATTTGCAAATAGAAAGAGTTTTACTTCTTCTTTGCCAATTTGGATGCCTTTAATTTCTCTTTCTTATAGCTCCAGAGCTATAAGACTTCCAGCACAATATTGAATAGAAGTGGGGATAGAGGGCATCCTGGTTCCTGTTCAAACGCCTTGCTGTTTTGAAAACTTGGTTTTATGCTTTATTAGAGAAAGTCCATTGTGGTTTTGCTGTTAGTCCTAGAGCAAATCCCTTAGTACTGGGATTCCTAAGTCACGTACTTTCTGGTGTTTTATTGGAAAGCCTTGAGTATACAATAGGAAATCTTAGTGGGCACTGTGGTTTTAGTATTAGGCTGCTAAATACAAGGTCAGTAGTTCAATTCCATCAGCTACTCCTTGGGAGAAAAATGAGGCTGTCTGCTCCAAAGATTTAGTCTCAGAAACCGTATGCAGAGTCACTGTGAGTCAAAATCAACTCAATGGCAATGGATTTGGAGTTCTTTTGTTGTTGTTGTTTTGGTTGGAGGGCGTATTAACAAGCCCTTCAAACTTGGTGGGATTTAAGCTCCAAATTCTGCCTCCCCCCAAATCCACTGTTATCAAGTCAATTATAACTCATAGCCACAGGTTTCTGAGGTGGTAAATCTTTATAGGAGCAGAAAGCTTCATCTTTCTCCTGTGAAGTAGCTGGTGGGCTTGAACTACCAACCTTGCAGTTCACTGTGGGTTTTTTTCCTATTGTACCACCAGGGCTCTTATCTGTCTTCCTAATGGTGAGCAATTGCTGAAATCTATGACTAGTTCTACCAACTTTTCGATGGTTTTTCCCCCTGGGCTCCTTGGAGTTTTGTCCAGTTCAGGGACCATCCAAAGATGAGGTCTCTTTTCTCCTTCTTGTGGCTCCCCGCTTCCCAGTATTTCCCCCTTAACTTCTTCCTTCCTTAGTAGCCTGAACTCCAACTTCTGGGTCCTCAGTCCAATTAGATTTAAGCTTTCTCCTTGAGTTCCCTTTGCTAGGCTGAGGGGACTGGGTATGCTGACCGATGTTGCAGGGGCAGGGGTGGATGACACAAGAATATGGATTTTACCCAATGCAATTCCTTCTTTCAAGGTTCAAGTATTCTCCAGTTGCTGGCTGCTCTTGTTCACTTTCCATTACCTTCAAACAGTTTTTGTTTTCGTTCATTTAATCCACCATTAGTCCAATTCAAGTTACTCTCTGTCTTTTTCTGTCTCTTGCTCCTCTATATCTGTCTCTGTCTGTATCTCTCTCTCCTCCTTCCTCTTTCCTCCCGTATTGATTCTCTCTCTATTGCTCCTTTCAGGGAGAACCTGGACCCAAAGGAGACCCTGGTGAAAAGACCCACTGGGTAAGCTGTAGCCCAGCACCCCACTACCCCCAGCTCCTCTCTCTCCCTGAGTGTTCAGAATAGTATTCTATCAGTGCTGGGCCCTTGGAATTGGGGTGCCCCATCCACATCCGCAGTGCCACCTGGTAGATCTCAGCCCTAGCTGTCTCCCCCATTTTGTTCCTCCCAATTGGGCAGGACCAGTCCAATCCACAGACCCCATGCTCTCTGTCTTTGTCCTGGTCTCTGTCTTCCTTTTGTGGCCTTTCCAGGCCAGAGTGACTTCACCTGTTTTTCATGGAAGGTTTGGGCTGACCCCCACCAGACTGCACCCTCTGCCCTTAGAGCTTTAGTTTCTGCTCCCATCTGTAGACAGGAAACATGGAAACAGTATCCAAACAGAAGATCAGGAGAGGGCCCCTCAGAAGCCCCATGGTAAAAAGGAAATCGACTGAGATGCCACCATACACAGGGAATCCATGAAGTTTGGGAAGGAAGGCCAAATAATCCATCTTGTACACAACTGTACATTGTAAAGAAGGTCAGTCCAAAAGACAAGATCCTAAACATCACCAGGAGATAGATGAGGCTTTCTGCTCCTGCGAAGATGTACAGCCCTGGAAACCTGATACAGGGTCACTATGAGTCAGAACCAACTCAATGGCACTTAATAACAGCAAGAAGATACCATCACATACATAGGACACCCATGCAAAATGGGAAGGGAGACCTAGAAGCCACCACATACACAGAAGAACCATGGGAAATTGGAAGGAATGGATCTAGACACCACTATACACAAGGAAACCTATGAAAAAATGTCAAGGGAGGCCTCAAAACTGTTATATACATACAAGACTTGGACAAAATGGAAAGGGGAACCTAGAAACCACATGCCCAAAACCATTATGATCATTGAAGATACTTGCAATAATTGAACCTTGGGACCTAGAAACTGTTACTCACCTAAGAGACACGCAGGAGGAGAGCCCAGGAGCCCAAAAGCTCTGTGATGAAGGGACTTAGAAACCGTCACTAATTTAGGAGACATTTGGAATATGGTTGGGGAGAGAGGAGCAGACATCTCGGAAGCTCGGTTGGAGGGTTCTATCATGCCTCACCCCAACCCACCCTGCAGTCTGGCTGGGAAATCCCACTTCCTGGCAGGTCCTAATTAGCGAGAACATGGGAGGCAAGTCTGCCCTGCCCTCTCAGCTCCTGACTGTGGCGTCAGTGATGGATACAGCCGTGGGAGCCCACCCCCACCCCACCCTGCACGAGTCTTCCCATGTCTCCCCAAGATTCTTAGAAACCTGCTACCTCTCTGGCAAGCCTCCCTCAACTCCCCTGCCCTGCTTCCCACCCTGGGGCTCCAGAGCCTCTTGAGAGTCAAACATGGTCATTTAGTGCTTAGTTGAGCAGGATCAGATAGACCCTGGGAGCTCAGCCCTCTGCCTTCTCTAGGCCCTGACACGTGTCTCTCCCAGACTCTTCCTTGGCCTGGTAACATGCTTTCTGCCCAACTTAAGAGTGGGGAAGGTCAAGCTTGAGGCACAATTAGACTGGGCAGCCTATCCCTGCACAGGGGCCCCCATCTAAGGAGCAGGATGCCTGGGCTTCTTAACCTGTTAGGGTCAGACCAGGTCTTGCACGCAGCACCACCTGCAAGGAGTGGGGCCAAGAGGTAGCAGGGACTCTTCTCATTCCACCTTACCTACCTTGCATCTCTGCCTGCCTGCTGCCTGGCTGGGAGGGGGCCTGCTGCGCTGGGGGATGCATGAGGTTTGGGGGACCAACTCTGTTGGGAGCAAACAGGGATGGGGCACCAGTATGGGAAAGGGCCCCAATGGCTCTTATACTCATAGTCCTCCTACCAACACCACCTTCTTAGTGCAGCTTTCAGACCGGCTGGCCCAACTTCAGCTCAGTAGCGGCACCTGGTGGTCACAGAGCACACTGCAGGTCCTTCTCTAGAGAGACTGAGCTGAACCAGCCGTCCAAACCAAAGTTTGCTCCTCTTCGGACAGAAAAACTGAGACCCAACTGGGCACAGCAAACAGGACTGGGACCAGAGTCTGGGCTTTTTATCTCTCGAGCCAGGAAATTTGCTAACATTCCCAAGCACCTCTTTGATGGGTGCCTGGCCTTGAGGTGTACCCTGGGAACCTGATGCTACTCAGACACATTCTGCACTTGGAGTAGTATCCATATCCCCTCTGTAACTAAGGTGATCAATGGGGTGGGGGAAATAGGTCTGCAGCCAGCAGCCACAGGAAATGGGGAGCTCAACTGTCAGGGAACACTCCGGCAGCTTTGAAGACCCAGGGACAGAGTCTTGGCCAGCCTGGGTATCAGGGAAAGCCTCCTGGAGGAGACAGAAATTAGGGCTGAGGCCCAAAAGGTGCACTAACCAGGCAAAGGGTGTTCAAACAGGGAAGGAACTACATGTGCAAAGGCCCTGAGGCAAGAGTGAACCTGGGGTATTCAAGGAACTGTAAATACTCACAGTGACTAAAAGTGTATGAAAGAAGAGGCAGATAGAAGCCAGATATTTCAGGACCTAGGAGGCCATTTGAAGAAACTGAACTTTGTTCTCTGGGCAATAGTGAGCCATCTCAGTCCTAAGCAGGGGAGTGATATGATCAGATTTTTGTTTGTGAAACATCTCTCTGCCATGTAGAGAATGAATGGAAGAAGAAGGCAGCATGGGAGAAGCAGAAAGAGAGAGACTAACTAGGCAAGAAGCTGTGGTGGGCACCCTGGTGAAAGATTGTGGGGATTGGAACTGGGGATCAGTGAGGACTGACAGATGTCGATGGAGCTAAACAACACTTGGGTGCTGGTTTGAACAGGAGGGGGTGCACAAGGAGTTGGGAGAGAATTTCACAATAGTAAGAGAGAGTAAGAGGGAAGTGGTGGTTTCACAGTAGAATTGTTGCCTTCCATACGGGAGAGCCAAGTTCATTTTCCGACCAGTGTACTTCATGCACAACCATCTGGCAACACTCCATCTGGCATTGGAGATTTACCTATTGCTATGAGGCTCAACAAGTTTCAGTGGAGTTTCTAGACTAAGCTGGACTAGGAAGAACAACCTGGCAATCTACTCCCAAAAATTAGCCAATGCAAACCATAGCAATAACAATGGTCAGATTCTCACCCATTCACTGGGATGTTTGGTTCTTAATGGGGTTGCCAACTCAACAATAACTAACAACAACAACAAAAGAAAGCCAGGAGAAACCAGCACACTGAGTTTCATAGATACAAAAGGTGAGCTGTCCATAACACAGCCAAGTGGGCGTGTCTGGCTTGGTAGGGAGTGTGGACAGGCCAACCTGGGAGGGGACCCAGGTGTCAACAGTGCAAACAGCCAGCCATATGGGAGGAACTCCCAATAATGGAATTTTTTTAACATTTTTTCCCCAGATCATTATTTTGACATTTTTTAAATGTATAGAAATTGTTATGACTACATTACATTTCTACCCTTCCTGTAGATTCACCAGTTGTTAATATGTTCCCCATTTGTTCTTTCTTTGCCTCTAACAGACCCTTGTTTCTAATCCATTTGAAAGTAAGCTATAGGTTTTATTCACATCTCCTCTAACTCTTCAGTGTACACAGAATATGGAATTCTTCTCCAGAACCACTATACACTGCCACAGTTGTTGTTGTTATTGTTAAGTGCCTTCGAGTTGCTTCTAACTCATAGCAACCCTATATAGGGTTTCTGAGGAGCGGCTGGTGAATTTGAACCACCAACCTTGTGGATCAAACCAATCTTGCAGTCCAGTGCATTATCCCACAGCCCCACACAGTAATTCAGTAAAAGAATTCCATTAAATACATTTGGTATGTAATGCAAAGGAGCTTCAAAATGTTTATGGGAAAATGCCATGATCTCGTCATTCCATTTCTCCACAAACTTTTTGAAGCCCCCTAGTATATGTGAATTATACCAGTTTTCCCCAAAATGTCTTATAGCTCTTTATTTGATTAATATTTAATTGCACTTTGGGTAAAGGTTTACACAGCACCATAGGTTCCCACTCGACATTTTCTACATAAATATAATTCTTTTTGGAGCCCTGGCATGTTGCCATAAGATAAGCACTAGACTGCTAACTGCAACACCTTGGAAGCCTTATACAAGGTCATTGTGAGTTGGAACCGACTTGATGGCATTAACAACAACAACTGGTTTGGGGTTTTGTTTTAAACTCTTTCGAAGTTATTTAAAGTACAACGGAGTTAGGAGCTATCCTCTAGAAATTGTGGCTCTTCTTTTTATGTGTTTTTTAGTTACTGTTTCTACTGCAAAAGTACTTCTGGTGTGGTGCTGCTGGATTGCTAACCACAAGGTCATCAGTTCAAACCCACCAGCTGCTCCTTGGAAACCCTACAGAGGGTCGCTACGAGTTGGAACCAACTCCAAAGCACATAACAACAGTAACATTTCCACTACAAAGATCCTAAAGATCTCATAGCTGGGTTTTGGTTGTTTTGAACGCCAGATCTAATCAAAAGTTCACACATTGTCCTTAGGGTTCACACTGTCATTCTTTTTGCACTGAGACCAGGCTCTCTGTCCTTTTCCCCTTTTCGTTGACATTATCTTCTTGGGAATGCCCCACAGTCTGGATTGTTTGATCATTTCTTCTTGAGCAGGTTAAATACTCTTGGCAGAAACACAAAACACAACATGGTTCGTGTCTTGTTGCTTCTCCTCAGGGGGCTTACATTTGCTTGTCCCATCATCCGTGCCAGAAATGGTTTCAAGTAATTTTTGAAGGTCATCCACTTTTAAACCCTGGTGTGCAGCCTGTAGTGACCTTGGGACACTCCCTCCAGCCTGAGGATAGTCATGTCCATGTGATGTGAGCAGGATAGCTGGGTCAGAACAGACGGTCTGTGCAAGGTCCCGACAGGCTTGCTCATACAGGCACGTTGGGAGGTCTCTCGGAGGTTTAGATGCTTGTGGGAGAGCAACTGCTTCACAGGGCTGAATTGCAATTGTACCAGTGTGTTTATTAATCATCTCTTCACTCAAGCTTTACTAAGTATGGGACACGAAGAGAAGACTTAAGCTGTTGCTGTCAAAACTGGAGCAGGTCTGTTTGCCATCCTGGGGCTCTGCTGGAATTAAGATAGCATCCTTCCAGAAATATCTGTAGTTTGTACTAGGAAAGAGTGAAGGTGCATTGGCAAGACTGTGAGCCCTATGCTGGGGAAGGAAAGAGCAGGCAGACTGTCAGGAAACGTAGGAGGTAGGTGGCTGGCATGAGCAGCTGGCACCACTTGATGAATGGAGAGCCCCCAAGCGGGGACACCTGGGGGAAGAGGGCTTTGGTTTGTTGTTGTTAAGTGCCACATCCCCTGCAGTGTGGGGAGGGTCCAGTGGATGAGAGGACAGAATCTCAGCCCTTGGAGGGAGCCAAAGTGAGAAGGGTTAGGGAGAGGGCACCCAGGCTTGAGCTTTAAGCACAGATTCCCCTGTGACCCACACAAACATTTTCTCCTGTGATTCCAATCTATCCACTTTTACACAAATGGAAATAATATTGGGAGCTGCTGTGTTTTGGTGCTGGGGTGGTGCAGATGGTTTGTGATCGTTCTACTAATCTAAAAGGTTGGTGGTTTAAACCCACCCAGGAGATCCACGGAAGTAACAGCCTGGCAATCTACTGTCAAATTGCTTCTTCCTGTTAGGGGTCCTCAAGTCAGTTCCAACTCATAGCAACCCTTTTATCCACAACAGAACGAAACACTGCCTGGTCTTGTGCCGTCCTCACAATTATTACGTTTGAGCCCATTGTTGCTTCTACTGTGTCAGTCCATCTTGTTAGAGGGCATCCTCTTTTTCTTTGACCCTCCACTTCACCAAGCAGGATGTCCTTCTCCAAGGTACACTAACCAGGCAAAGGGTATTCAGATGGAGAAGGAATTACATGTGCAAAGGCTCAGAGGCAAGAGTGAACATGGGGTATTTGTGAGATCCACGCAGATTTCAAACAAAGAAACCCTCTACTGTGGAGCCGTTCTACTCTATCACACAGAGGGTTGCCTTGAGTTGGAACAGACTTAATAGCAATTGGTTTGGTTTCTTTTGGTAATGTAGTGAGCAATTAAGGCAGAAAGTGAGTCTGGTTAGAGAATATCAAGTAAACGAAGGCGGGTGTCCTGGGATGAAACAGGAATCATGCACGTGATGTGGGAAGGACTTTCGTTGAGTAACAAGAATTAGAAGACAAGGTGGACTCCGTGGTGGGTTCCAATGCAATGTCTGAAACCAGCACCCCCTGCTTCAGGGTGTGGGGAAAGAGCAGCCAGCTGGGATCCCACCTGACTTACTGAGGAAATCTTCGGGGGCTACTTCCACCTGCCTTGTCCCCTCCTGTTCCTTCCTGGTCTTGTTCGCTGTCTGTGGGCCCTGGGCTGTGGTAGGTGTTGTGGGGCTGCAGGTGCATGTCCAGGGTGGGGCATGGGCCACCCACAGGCTTTGCTGGGTTCCCCTCCCCTGCCCCCTTCACGGCTGCATCTGTCTCTTTCCTCCACAGGGGGAGGGGTTGCACCAACTACGCGAGGCTTTGAAGATTTTAGCTGAGAGGGTTTTAATCTTGGAAACAATGATTGGGCTCTATGGTGAGTAGAGACAGACGGACAGACAGCCCATCCTGCCTGCCAGCCTTTCTCCAAGTCCTCCTGGGGTGGAACTGGTCTGGACCCAGTCATGAGGCTGGAGCAGGTGCCTGCTCCAGGCCGTGTTGGGAGGACTCAGAAGACCTGAGATGCCAAGACCACCCCTCCCTCAATGACCGGTCCTCTCCTCCACAGCTGAAGGGGGCCCTAGAAACCCAGGCTCCCACCCCTGTGGTCAGATCTGGGCCTTTAGTCATTGTGGGTAATGGGCTACTTTGGGTAACATGGTTTCGAGAACAGCAGGGGAACCATAGGTAGAGATTACAAGTTTGGGTAAATTTATGGTTAATAGAGTCAAACTCCAGGCCAGCCCCTAGGGGACTGTGGGTAATGATAGAGTCAGAGCCCAGACCTACAGGAGAATTATGGATAATGGAATCAGACTGGCACTAGGAACAGAGAAATTGTGGGTTACAGAGCTTTTCTCCAGCAGTGGGTCATGGAGCTAGATTCCAGAAGTATGGGAACGGTGGGTAACAAAGCCAGACTCAGCTCCTAGAAGACTGTGGGTAATAGACCCACAGTGACTCTCCCTCCTAGCACCAGATCTCCCACTTCCAATATCCCTGTTGACCTTCCTAACCCACCTTAGGGCTCCAAGAGAGCCAGCCCTCACCCTGGGCTTTCACTCAGCAATCCTCCACCCATCTGTCCACTCACACTGGCACTGAAGCCAGCCCTGGCCCCACCTTAGGAGGGGAGGCCAAGGTCTCGAGAAAGACTTTTCTCTGACTGGAGTTGAACTCCTGCCCTATAGCCAGGTGGCACCTGCCCCCCACCCCCTCCTCTTCTACTCCCCCAGCCCTCAGAGGCTGGACTTGCACCGTCTGCTCTTCTCGATCTCCCATCAGGCTCCTAGCTTACAGAGCTTCCTGCAGCAGCAGGCTCAGCTGGAGCTCCTGACCAGACGGGTCACCCTGCTGGAAGCCATCATTTGGCCAGGTAACGACAAGGCGGGCAGGCAGGGGCAGCCTCTTCCAGGAAAGGCCTGGGAAGGGCCTGGGAACATGGAGGTACCTCCCGGTGCTTGGCCCAGACCATCAGACATTCATCCTTCAGTCCTTCCAGCCAGCAGACAGTGCCTGGCACAGAGAGAGCACAAGTAACTACTTCTTGAGTGAATGAGTATCTGCATTGTGCCGGGCCCCTTGCTGCTGGGCTACAGCAGATAACATAGAGCCCTGCACTCATGGAGCTCAGCGGGTAGACAGATGGCCCTGCAGTTAAAACTGAGGGAGAAATGCTAGGGTGGGATAAGTACAGGTAGCTACAGCCACACAAATGCAACCCTGACTGGGCAAATGGGGAGTGGAGCGAGGGCTTCTTAGAGGACATGACCTTGAGTGGAGACCTGAAAGGTGAGGAGGTGTTAGTTATAATTAGGGTAAGAAATGGGAGAGAGTGAAGAGGCAGACAACAATGTGGGCAAGACCAAGAGGCCAGAGGAAACCTAGAGGGATTGTTCTGAGAGGTTGCTGAGAGCTAAACCTAGATAATCTGGCAGGGCCCAGGTTGAGAAGGTCCTAGAAGAAAGAATAAAGAGACAAGGTAGAAGGTCAGAGCCAGGGCAGGCAGGACCCTAACTGTGTCTGGCATGTGGGTGCCTGGTAGGTCATGGTGGGCTCAGGAGGTCTCTCCCCACCTGAACTGGAACCTGTAGTAGGCCCTGGAGAGAGGGCCCCCTCTCTACAAGTCCTCCCAATCAGGGTTGGCCTCTGTTCCTTACCTACTGACTTAGAGCCTGAAAGAACCCCTCTTCTCCCATCTGCTCCAGCTGCCTCACCTCACAGCCCATTCCAGCACACCCGTGTGCAAAGGCCTCGAGCCTCATGTCCAGCCTCAAAGGCCTAAAGCAGAAAGGAGCACCAAGCCTCCTTCATTCAGCAAATGCTACAAAGCACCTACTGAGTGCTAGCCTGGCCTGCTGCCTCCCTGCTCCCCCCTCCGCCCCCCCAGGGTACAGGAGCATTGAGGGATGGAGTGAGGGAGCAGTCACTTCATGCTGGGGCTTGGAGACACTTACTTGGAAAAAGAGCCCTCACAGAGCCCAGCACAGGCAAAAGCCTGGAGACTGGACGGTATGTGTGGTCAGTTGCCACACTCTTCCCACCACATTACTCGACTTCTCTCAATTCCAGAAACATCCGTGCCATCTCTCCATTCCTCCCCCCCACCACCACCACCACACACACACACATCCAGCTCCCTTCCAGAGGAGGAACCAAGGGCTAAATCCCAAGCTCTCAGGACCTGAGAGTTTCAGAAACCCTAAGGAGCAGTTCTACTCTTCTATAGGGTCACTATGAGTCAGAATTGACTTGATTATAGCAGATTAATCCTCACCAGCTTGCTGGGTGGGCAATAAGATGCCCATATTTACAGATGAAGAAACTTGGGGGTTCCCAGGGCTCTCTTGGGATCACTGTGGTAGTAGCGTTAAGTCCAGGGTTCCAACCTAGATCAAATGCACTGGTTCTTTTGACTTCCATTAGCAAAGGTTGGCTGGATGCCTGTGCTAGACAATGGGTTGATGAAGGCCCTGGGGAAACAGTGGACCCAGAAGTTGACTGTGTCAGAACGGTATTTAGTGACCAACTCACATTGAGCAGAACCTGAATCAAAGCCACAGTAACCCCCTAACCATAGTCCATCAGCCTTCATTGTGACCATTTTTCCCTTCTGGTCCCACTAAACCACTAGATTTAGTGCAAGAAGATGTGCCCACATTCCAGATGAGGCCCAGAGATTCTGACTTGTCTAAGACCTCAGAATTGGGACATGGACTTGGCCACCTCCCTCCCTTTGCAGGGACCACACTTCCTCTGTCCCAAGGCCTCAAGACCCATCTCAGAGGTGTGGAGGCTGAGGGTCAGGATTGATTACAAGAGTCCAGCCAACTTCCCCAGTAGTTAACCTCATAGAAAAGTTGGTGCTCACCAGAGTACAAGTATTCCTTCTGTGAATAGAGTTTGGGAAGCTGTCATGTCTCCCATCTTGGGGGTCTCCTCCCTGAGCACTCCCTCCCCCTGGAAAAACTGTCATCTTCTGATCTGTCTGAACTGTTCATTTGGGGAGCAACTGAGGTGGTAGTCACAGAAGGCTACTTGGTGGAGGTCAATCATGAGTAGTTTTCTGGGTGACAAGAATGTCCATTATCTGCAGTTTTACTTTTGGGGACCAGCTTATTTAAAGGCTGGGGTATGTCTCACTTCAGTTAATTGTCAGAGCTGACTGGAACATCAGAATCTCTCTGGAACTATACCCCCTTAGAAATGAGACAACTGACTTGCCCACCTTGGCTTTCCTAAGCCCTTCCCCAAAGGCACTTAGTCTAAGGACAGTGGGGTTGATTCAAGATATACCTTCATGGAGCACTTTACTATGTGCTAAACATTGAAGTCCTGGCATGCTGCTGTGGGTTAATGCACTGAACCTCATGGTCACTTTGATCTATAAAGTTGGTGGTTCAAGCTCACCAGCCGCTCCTCAGAAACCCTATATAAGGTCACTATAGATAGGAACGGACTTGACGGCACTTAAACATTTCATAAATGTGATAGGTTACAATGGAATCAGACAGAGGCCTTGAGTGTTCCCAGTGGGTTTGAGGGCCAATAACCTCCAGGCTGGAACACTAACTAAGCAGCCTGAAGACCTCCTTCTCTCCCACAGCTTGGCCACCCAGATGCCAGAGTAAAGCACACTTGGCAGATGGTGCCTGATCCTGCCACCCCCCAGAGGGCCAAGGTGAGGTGGGTACTGCACATGGATCCTGCTAACATGACTTCTCTCCTTCCTCTGGCAGAACCAGAGCTGGGGTCCGGGGCAGGCCCTGTTGGCACAAGCACCCCCAGCCTCCTGCGGGGCAAGAGGGGAGGACACGCAGCCAACTACCAGATCGTGGCTCCCAAGAGTCGGAACGAGAGAGGCTGAGGGCAGTGGCAGCCATTCAGGGCGGGCCAGGCCAGCCCCCTCCAGGAACCACCATCCATATTTATTGATGTCCTCTGGATCCCTTCTGCCACCTAGGCCTTTGGGGCTGGCGGGTCTCTGGCCTGGCACCCCACATGGTTGCAATATGTGAGGCTGAGCAGAAGCTGAGGCCTGAGAGGGAAGGGAAGCCACATGGGAGGTGAGGTCTCCTTCGGGCAGGACCCTGGATCTCAGCTGTCCTCCATAAAATGGGGTGATGCTGGCCTGTAGGAAGAGGTGCTTCTTGTCTTTTCACCTGCTGCCTGGGCACCCAGGCCTGCAAGCCCCAAGGGAATTCAGAGCTTGTGCTCTGCCCTGCCCTCAGCAGGAGAAAGGGTTGATGGTTTCACCTCCACCTCCACCCCACCTCCTGTCCTTGTTTTCTGGTGCTGGCTTCCCAACTCTGAGGTTTGACTCTCCCAGATCTCTGATTGAAGGGTCGAGTCTCCTTGCCTCAGTTCTGCCTGTGTCCTAGGTGGGGGTGGAGGTATGGGGAGAAATATGCCACCTGCTCCCACATGCGCTTGTGACAGGAGCCAGGAGGTAGATGTATCATGGCCAATAAAGGCCTCCAGTCTGATGCCCCCCCCCCCCAGCCTGGTCTCTGTGTGTGCTTAGATGGGGGGCAGGACCCCCACCAGCATCTCAGCAGCCTTCACTCCTCACCTGGGGGGCTGGAGACATGGGAGTGGGTAAGAAGAGAGTCTCAAGTCACCCCTGAGCAGCAGTGACTGAGGTTTCAGAATGACTTGTGGAGAGGGCCACTTGTCAAATCAAGCCAAGGGATGAGAAGCTGCCACAGGTCTCAAGGCAGCGTCTCAGTTTCTTCATCTATAAAATGGAATGGATGGGGCCACTCTCAGGTTTGAAGAAGCAGGAGACTTCCCAGCTTATTTGTCACCTACCAGCAGGTGACCAACAGTAGGAGTGCTCTCTGTTCTCTCCAGCCCTCCTCTCGGGCCGTGGACTGGGGTTCGTTCCCCACAGGTAGCCAAAGGGTAGGCCTGATCCAAGACAGGCAGCTTGATACACAGATGCCCCCTGGAAGCCCAGCTTCCCAGACCCCCTACAAGTTACACATACATACACACCACCAAACTCAGGCCCTGTGTTGTCTAAACCCCCCTCACCTGAGAAGGACAAAGATAGGGGCTGACCAGAATGTAGGGAAGGGCTGCTGTTTCAAGGCGGGGGATGTCCCTCCCCACCACAAATTTCTGCCCGTGGGTCCAGCAGCCACTCTGGGCCAGGCCTGAGGAGACGGCTTGAATCCAGGCTGAATGCCAAGTCCAGGAAGGCTTCCTGGAGGTAGAAATTAGCTGGGCAGTGAGTCTTGGCAGCTGAAGCCGGCAGTGAGAGGAAGCACATGGAGCAGGAGCCACTTGGTCAGTTTTTCATTTCAGGAAGTCAAGGAGCTGTTTGTCAGCAGTCATTCACCCACTGCTCAATCATTCATTCATTCCCAGTGCCAACACAGACACACACATCACTGCCCCGCGGAGATCCAAGGTGAAAAACAAAAACTGGTTTTTATTCTAAACAAGTACCAGGGCAGGGTGGACTGCTGATCACAGGGCAGGGGCCCAGGGCCAAAACACAGGGCCAGGCCTACTTGTCACCCTAGGACCTGCCTGTGTCCTGCCCTCTGCCTGGGCTAGGGGGCCCGGGGCCCTCGGGGTGGGCAGGCCGGCCCTTCCCCTCTGTGACCAGGGCCTCAGCCCCAACCTGTCCACCGACCAGCAGTGACACAGCACCCTCCACACGGCCCGTGGCTGCCAGTGCCACCACTGCCTGCTCCGTGGGAAAGCCCATGCGTTCCAGCTGCTGCAGCCTAGCAGAGTGCAGAACAGGAATGTCAGGCAGTGCCCATGGCCCCACACCAGGGGGCCCACATTCCCACCCTCTTACCGCAGAGAAGAAACTGAGGACTTGGGTAGCCACAGAGGGCTCTCAGGGCCCTGGGCCGGCCCCTCCTTAAGTGAGGCTTGGAGCGCTTCCTGCAGAATCTGCTGGTCCAGGGCCGCCCACAGCGGGGTGTCTGGGGGGAAGCTGGGCCCAGCCCATGCCAGGCCTGCCTCTGAGGAGCCCTCCCAGGCTGACTGCACAGATCCCAGACTTGGTGGGAGTGGGACTGAGGCTTTACTGCGGGGCCATAGGCTAGGGGAGGCCATGAGAGCCAGTCCCTGCTCAGAAGGCCTGGAGGGGCAGAAGAGGGGGTCTGTTAGTCACAGCCCAATTTCCACTGTCAGGGTTGTCACCCTCCTGCCAGGCAGCCTCACCTCACTCCAGGGGGATGGGTGACAGGTAGCTCAGCCAGGCTGCCTGGAGTAGGCAGGAGCTTCAGTGGCCAGCACCCCGCCAGGACTCTGCATACAGTGCCCGCCTGCAGCACCTGTAGTCGCTGCTCCGACAACTCCAGCCACCAGAAGGCCCCCGCTGCATCTGTCTGCCCAGAGTGGGGCGGCTGGTCAAGGAAAACCAAGTTGACTGTGGGTAAGCTCACATCGCATGCCGGGCCCGGTGCCAGGTGTGTGATGGGCATTCCCTCATGTCCTCATCTGTCCCCAGCAAATATGTGTTGTCACACAAGTTAGCGATTGGGGCTCAGAAAGAAGGGAACTGCCCAAGATGACCCCACTGGTAAGAGGAGCTGGGACATGGGCTCACCCCCTCCCCTGCTTTCAGCCACCCCCTGCCCCATACTGTCCCCACAACCCTGTGCCTGCTCAGGACCAGTATGAGTCCCTCTCAACCAGGCCAGCAGGCTCCCCTTCCAAGTTCAGACAGGCTGCTTTTAGCGCTAAATAGGCACCTCCCTTGAAAAACAGGAATGACTCCAAGGGTCCAGCCTGAGCCCATTTCTCTCCAGTTGCATTTCTTTCTCCCAACAGGCATTAAAGAATCCTTGGAGCCACAGGCCATGGGGAACCCCTTTTCAGTTCCCACATCAGCCTCTGCCTTACTACACCCTCTACTGGACACTGCCTTTGCTCAAATCTCTTTTCCTGAATCCCTCACCCTACAGTCTCAACCTGGCAGCCATTTCCTCTGAGGAACCTTCTTTGATCTCAGGCTGCCTCTGTCCTGTTGGGCTCCCCACAGGGATCTCTAAATGGTCACTGTCACTTCCAATTAGTCATGTGACCCCAGCTCACAGCCTGGTACACAGGACTCAGAGGTGCTTCTGAAATGTGCGTACACTACATCCTGGCACTAATTGGGCCTGACCCCCATGTGCCATTTCCTTTCCAGGTCCCCTAGGGATCCAGCCACAGAACCCACGATTCCCACAAGCCCAGGGCCCCAGGCAGGATACAGGCCAGGCCAGCCAGAAGGCCACAGACGAGTTGCAGGAAGGGTGGTTCAGAGCTGAGCAATGGGGTCAAGCTCAACAGCAGCCACGGCAGTAGCCACCGTGGCAGTGCCCCCCGGGGCCGTGGGGGCCGGCGATCTTGCCCCGCCAGCATGGCCAAGTGGACAGGCATATAACCGCAGCCACCTGCCACACTGGGCACTCCAAGGCTCGCCAGCACCACAGCCAGCAGCCCAGTGGCCAGGGCAAGCAGAACAGAGGTGTGCAGGAACCACAGGGTGCCCAGGCGGCGCTCCTGTTGCCAGCCCAGTGTAGCCATGAGCAGCAGGCTCAGGAGCAGGCCCGGCAGGGACACGTGGCCTAGGGCATGGGTCAGGAGCCTATGCGCTGAGACAGAGAAAGAACTTAGATGCCAGATGTACAATCCAACCTCCCAGGATGCACCAGAGTTTACCCTCCACCAAGGCCACCGCTGAGACAGCTTCCCTCCAGGATCCAAAGTCTGTGGTTGCCAGTACTTAAAATCAGGACAGGACCAAGGGCCATTCTGGCCATACAGTTATAGAGTGCCTGATGTGTTCCATATGTATTTACTGAATCCTTCACATGCACTCTGATGAGACAGCCTGCTTCAATATTGGACCCACCCCACTACTCCAGCTGTGTGACCTTGGACAAGTTATTTAACCTTTCTGAACATCCTTTGGTTTCCTCAAATGTATATTGTAGCTGTTATTATCGAAAAACAGGTGCTCAGTTGAAAGCCTTACTTATTTCATTGTGAGAGGGAGCCCTGGTGGTGCTGTGGGTTAAACATCGGGCTGCTAACCAGAAAGTCATCGGCAGTTTGAACCCACTTGCCGCTCCAAGGGAGAAAGATGAGTCTGTCTGCTCCTATAAAGATTGACAGTCTCGGAAATCCTATGTAGCAGTTTTATTCTGTCCTACAGGGTTGCTGTGAGTCAGATTTAATTCTGTGGTAGTGAGCTTGACTTTTGTATGTGAGAAGTTCTCAGAAAATAACTCCCATGAGATCCCCACCCACTCTGCTGGCCCTCTGTCCTCCCTTCTGGCTAGAGATGAATTGGATGCACTCGCATCCAAGTCTGGCCTTATCCAAAGAACTGGATTCTGTCCCTCTCTCCAGGGTGTCCCTGTCACCTCCCACACACAGTGAAGCTTCCACCTTTAGCCATTGCCCACCTCTCTGCTCCCCTTTAGAACAAAATTGCCTCCCCTCTCAGGCCTCCCTCATCCCTGCTACTCCTCGAAATCTCCCTTGAGGATCACTGATGCCCTCCACTAATGCCAGGTGCGATCCACATCGGTCTTTAGTCACCCTGGGCCACACTGTCCATTGTAGACATCCAATGCCACTGATATACCTATGCCTACCAAATTTCTACCTCCAACCCAGACTCCTGACTCATACCCAACAGTCAAGTCAGCTCACTGCTTGCCTTGTATCTAATCCAGTTCTCAGACATCCAGTGTCCAGAGCCAATCTCTATTCTCCACCAAAACTGTTCCCTCCAGGGCCCACCATTCTTTTAGTTACACAGGCCATAAACCACCTACCTTACCCCTCTGCTCTCACACCCAACATCCAAGCCAGCTGCCAATCCTGTCAACTCTGTCCTCAAAATCTATCTGCAAAGTCACCCTGTCTCATGGGCTTCCCAGTCTCCTGGGCCAGACTATCCTCTCACACTAGGATCTTTGCCCAGGCTCCTGGCTTTACCACTTCACCCCGTTAGACCTATTCTCCACCCAGAGAGGGTGCTATCAGAAACCCAATGCACTCGATAGTCAAAGCCCAAGTGCTCAAGACCTTCCAGCTCCCCCAGTCACCCTTTCACAAAGGCCATCCGCGCTCTACCCCCAACTCTGTTTCACTTGCTTCTCAGCGCATACCAGCTCCAGGCCTACTAGGCATTCATTTGGTCATGCCTTGCTTATTTATTTATTCACTTGTTCAGCTTGCCAGCCCATGGGAACATGGCCTTTGCTTTGTTCATTGAGAACCATGTGTAGACAGTACATGCTCAATGAATATTTGTCAACTGACTGACTAGATGGATATGGTATGCTTATCAAATTCTGTTTTGTGTTAGATGGTCACACAGGGACCTGCTTAGACAGCTCTACCCAACTGTCCTGGATAAAAAAATGAGCTATTAATATGGTCCACAGTTTGCAGGTGAGGAAACTTAGGCCGAGAGGACAAGTGACTGGTATTGGTCTCACTGCAGGTCTCCTGCCTCTTCCAAGACCCATGTGGTCCTTACCCTGCCAGGGTTCCTGCAGCAGCTCCGGGGCCAGGGTGAGGCTAGGGCCAACTCCCACTAGCCATAGGCCACTCATCAGCAGCATCAGAGTCGAGGAGGTAAGAGGCAGGGCCGGGAAGAGTGGGCCAGGGGGACCCCTGGCATGCATGTTGAGAATGGTCAAGGATGGTCCTGGGGCTGTGCTGGGAGTAAAGAAAAAGAACAGTAATGATTATTCTCACAGCCACTGACTCCTTCCCATCCTTCTACCAACAATCCTATTTTACAGACATGGAAACAGGCTGAAGAGGCAAGCCAAACAGCTTAGCCATGGCAAAAGTGAGACCTTAACCCATGAGCCTAACCCTAACCCCAACCATCTGCCTGTTCACATATAAGGATGTGAGGGGTCCAAAGGGCCCTGAGCCTTTAAGAGGGGTCTGAGGGTAAGAGGCCTAGGGGAGTTAACTGGGGCCCTGGGCTCCCAGAAAGATGGGTGCAAATCCAGTGCCAGCTCTAGCCCTTCTCTAGCCTACCCTTCTCTCAAGCTGGCTCTAGTTGGCCAGCCACCTTCCTTCCTTCTTCCCTCCACTGTACCCAGTCTTAGAGCTCCAGGTCCTCAGGCTAGGATGCCCTTGACATCCTAGGGGGCGGGGCTTGCAAGAAACCACTGTAAAGCCCGCCAGCAAATAGACTAGCAGAATGGGGAGGAGGTGGGGGAGGAAGGCTGGGAAAGGACAAGAGTTCCCTCCCCCTGTGCATACGCTAATTGCCTCTTCCTTCTCAAGTCCCATCACAGCCTCTCCTGCCCAGCCGTTTCTCCCAAGAAGTTTCAGGTTCTGCCCAGCCTCTTCCTGCTACATGTCCCAAGCAAGTTTCTAAACTCTGAGCCTCTCCCTCATCTGTAAAATGAGGATTAAGAAAATCCTTTCCTCAAGGCTGTGCGCTGGTGGCCAGGAGGCAGGCTTGCCCTTTGGTTACTTAAATGACTATATATTTCTGAGTGTTTTTGTGTCCACACACACACCCAAAAAATAAGAAAAAATCCTTATAAAGTGATAAGAAAAAAGGGATAGTCTCAGGTGTGGTGCTGGATTGGTAAAGTTGTTAGTTTAAACCCACCAGCTACTCTCATAAACCCTACATGGGGTCGCTATGAGTTGGGGCTGATTCAATGGCACACAACAAGGCCTGGCCTGGCCTGTAACTCCTACTCAGTTAAACTGTGCCATCCTCCCTCAATGTGGGAGGCAGATGTAGACACCACTGGCTGGCCAGACCCCTGTCCAGGCCTAGCTGATCTAAACCATGGCCCTCAAACATGTTCATTCGTTGCCCACAAAGCAAGGGATGAGCATGTTCTCCCTCTCCCAGCCAGCCTGAGCCTTTAGCAGGAAGTAAGATCCCAGAGAGACATGGCTGCCTCAACTGTTCCCTTGCCAAGAGTGTCCTCAGCACCAAAACCCACCTACCAGTTTCCAGTAGGAAAAATGTGAAAAGCTCTTCTACCTGTAGTGTCCTTCCCTCCAACTCTCCAACAGGCAAACTCCTATCTAGCCTTTGAAGCCCAGCTTCCCTTCCCCTTCTCAACATAGAGTTTGTCCAATTTTCAGATCATGGCTTGTCCTTTGTATCTCAAAGCAGGTGGTCTGACATCATCAATGAGCCTCTCTTACTCATTCCCAAGGTTGTGAGTGTGCATAGCAAGCACATAGTGGTGCATTCTATGTGTTCACTGAAAAGCATTACCTTGGCTATAGGTCCACTGAGGATCTACATGAGCCCTGCAATGCACCAGGCCCAGGGGCCATCTTGGAGGTTCCTTCTAAGGCTGGCTCTGAGGCATCCTCCACTGCAAGCCTTGTCTTGCACCATCACAACTACTCTCTCCCAAAGCACTTCAGGAGGGTGAAGGGCTCCCCCGTGGATACTCAGAACTAGGACTTGAGCCCTCTGGGCCTCAGTTTCTTCATCTACGCAAAGGGGCCGTGCACCATCAGGCCTATGTACCTTTCTGGGATACCGGGACGGCAGAATGGGAAGACAAGGGCAGGGGAAATGCTTCTGGATAGTGACAAGAGTGGAAGTTCCTGGGTCTGCATTAGTCTCAGTTTTGTGACTTTGGGCAAAGTACCAACTTCCTCAGGGCTCAGTTTCCCCTGCTGTAAAAACAAGACTATTGGATAAGGAGTGATTAAGGGGCCTTCTCAGCCTCGACCGTTATGGGGGGGGCCGCAGAGCCAGACGAGGCGTTAGGGACCACCCATCCCGCGACCCGGCCTCGGCCCCCTCCCCCGTCTCCCGGGCCACGCGTCCGGGGTACTCACTGCGGAGCGCGGCCCCCCCCCCCCGGAAGGCTGAGCCGGGCCCCGGTTGGCATTCGGGCCTCTAGCCCCCCATCGAAGCCCAGGCGCCCCGGACTAATCTGCACACACACGGGCGCGTGACCCCGACTGGCCGTCGCACCGCCCCCTCCCCCGCCGCCTGTCGATTAGTCAGCAGTTGTTCTAGGCCCTAGTCCCTTCCCCCAGCCCTCCCGCCGACCTCCGTTTCCCTCCAGGGAAGACTCTTCAGAGACGGTCCCTAGAACTACCGGGCGTAACCATTACTAACGACCTGCGTGCTAAGAATCACTCGGCTTGATACTGAGATTTGCTCGCCGACCGCTCTAGCCCCTAAGGTGCAATTTTGCCCTGCGTTTGGTGTCATCCAGCGCTCTTTCTAGGGGTTTGAAGCAAGAATTGCAGACGCAACGACGAGAAAGCGGTAGTCATCTCTCCTTATCCCACCCCTGTAGCCTGGTCGGATGGTAGCGCCCGAGGTGGGGGACAGGCTTCGCGCCTGCGCAGTGCGGGGCCTAGCGGGAAAGCGAGAGGGAGACGGACGTTGAGAGAACGAGGAGGAAGGAGAGAAAATGGCGTCCACGGGTAAGTGTGGTGGAATCGCGGTCGCGCTGGCGACTGCTGGGACGCACAAACGGGGGACCGCTCGTCTCTGAGGGTGATCGTGACGATTGAGTGGCTTTGCCGAGAGGGCTTTGAAGTACCCTCCGCAGCCAGACGGGCTCAGGTGCCCGCGGTACTTTCCCCTCCCCCCACCTGGAGGGCTGGTTCTGGAATCTTCCGGCGCCCCCGGCGTGCGAGGGGCTCGCGGCGGCGCGCAGTGGCGGGGGCGCGCGGGCTCCGCCGGGGCCTCTATTGTGTAGCGGCCGCCGGGCCTCGGACTCCGGGCCGCCCGCCACGTGGGCGGGGCCTGCTGCCGCCGGGCCTCACATGGGGGAGGGAAACCCGGCTGGGCCTCGAACCCGGCCCTGCGCAACCGGGGGCTGAAGGGTGCACGGGTCAGCTCTCCCTCGGATCTCCTTTCTCTTCCCAGGAGGTGCTCGGAGCCCGAAGGGAAGCTCGGGGTGAGGGAGGAGGGCAAACAAACAAAAATGTCTACGATTTGTTAGCTGTGGGGCGCCGGCCTCTCACTCGGCCTTGGAACTGGATCGCCGTTGCTCTTGCTCCCCGGATGACTGGGGGCGGGCTCCAACCCGAAACCCCACTAATGCCCCACGGAGCTATAGACCCGCTAGATAGCGCTTCCAATCCGTTGCTCTGTTGGGCTTCTTCCTTTTCATCGTTATTCTTAATCTACAGACACACACACACACCCCTCCCGCCTCTCCCCACAAAGCGATTGAATGGCTTCCCAAGGTCCGTTTCCGCCGACGCGGATCGTGAGCCGTTGTATAACAAGGCCGGCCTGGATCTCGAGGCCCGAAATCTCCCCAGAGGAATTTCTGGCCTCTGACCCGAGAGGAACAAAAGGCCTGAGCCGGCACTGGAATTCGGCTTAAGCAATCGTCTCACACGTTTGTTCTCTATTGGGGCGATGGGCATGTTTCTGCTGTGAGTTGATGGAGGAGAGGGAAAGGAGGCGTCCAGTGGAGACTCGCCAATTGAGGGGGGTCTCTAAGAATGGACTGGAAACCACCTGCGGTGGTTGGCAGGGGTCAGCCAGGGCGGGAGGAAGGAGGGGGTGGTCTCCATAATACAGCAATTTAAGCATAGGTTTCTGACACTTTCCCACTGTATGGTTAGTAAGCAAATGTATGCTTACTTACAAGAGGATTATGAAATACCCAGCCATTTTACACCCCCAGACCCTTTCTTGCAGGATTTGAATGGGGGTTAGGGTTAGCAGACGGATCTCTTCTTCTTGCTCAAATCCTGTTGATTGTGTTCGAATTACAGTTGTGTTTTATCCACACACACAAGTTCGTGGGAAAATTCCATTCGCTTTCAATTCCATTTTTCCACGAACACCTTGAATCCTCCTTGTACATAAAGTATTAGACTGGGTTGAGGGTCTTGGCGTCATAAGACTTATGTGGACTATAGTTTCAATTCCTGCAAAATTAGAGTATTGGGCGAGATCTTTTTAAGGGCTTTTTGAACAGCAACTGCTGGTCTTACAGCAAAGGATGTTGGCTAGCACAAAGTTGCTTTATACTGACTTTGATTTAACTAGATAGTCTGAATATATTTGCATCTATACAGCTTGGATAGATAGGGACTGTCTTGAGTTATGTTAGATGTCCTCCCCCATACAAACCCCATATGATGGTTCATAGAAATTATCTAAAGCTTATGGCAGGTTTAGCTGAATTAGCACACAAACTCTCAGATCAAGAAATAAAACATTGCAAATGCTCTAGCTTCCTGGACCACTGCTCCCTATTGAAGTCTTCAGCTGCATATTTGGGATTTAAAAACAAAGTATGAGGGGACTCCAACAAGTTCGTGGGAAAATGGAGTGAAATTTTCCAGCAAGCTTTGAAGCCCCCTCATAGAACCAGTTGCTAACTAATCTAGCCAGAGTGTAACTGACATATTTGAGGTCATATGATGGTGTGTTATAGGTAGATAAGCCATAATTCTCATGAAGCAAGTTTGCTGCCTCCTGTAGGATTTGGTGAGCCCCATCAGTAATAGGACTACTTTTCCCTGATTTCACACTGATATAAGGTAATCAGTTGTTCCCAATCAGCTTTGCCAGTTTTACGTTACTGCTCTTGCATAAAAGTCCTCTTGCAAACATGGAATTTGCAGGTCAGCGATTTGGAATCACTTCTCATACTACAAAAAAATCTGCAAAATGTTGAATGTAAGATTGTAGATGCTA